TCAGCAGTGATGCATCAGGACTAATCAGTGGGACATGATTGATTTGGTAATTGTGTTTGCTTTCTTGAGGTAGACCCAAAACTTTGCTGGCGTGAATTAAGAAAGTTGTCGCTGCTGATGAAGCGCTGCAGTGTCGTGTGAATGCAAAATGCCCGTTGTTCCGTTAGCTTCAGCCAAATGGGAAACAAAGCAATTACCAAATGTTTATTAGCTAGGTGGTTATTCATCATCAAGCATGAATATGCAGCGTGTCTGTTTTAACTACAGATGATTGTGGGTTATGGTCAAATGCATTATTTTATACTGATTTATCCTGTAAATGGTGTCTTTTCCCAGTGAGGGATCAGCTCCCAGTCTCCTGGATGAACATGATACTGATTTAATCTGAGCGAATCTGAACCACAGCTAGGAACAAAGTGTAGACGGGATCATAAAAACACCAGATTTCCATAAAAAGACAAAAAAAAAAGAGATTAAAGCACTTTCATAAACATATGTTCATGTTCCAGATCATCTTCAACAGTCATCATGTTTCTTCAGTGGGTTTGGAACAAAAACACAAGAAATACCAAGCTTACATAATGATCCGGAAGTCAGACACCAGTGATGAATCTGTATTTTCATGAGATTTTGTAAAGTTTATGGTTTAAACCATTATAGCTACTGCTGTGTCTCTGTTTCTGACTGAGTCTGATTGCTGTGAGATGTTCAGTCATGCTGCCTGCTTTACTGATAACCATACTTGTAATAAATGTGGTAATTTAGTAGCTTTAGAGGGGAGGTGTGGAAATCTGAAAACCAGTAGACAGCTTAAGCCACTTAGCTAGTATGAGGCCAGTAAGATCAGCAGCCCTCCTGTAGAACCTGTGCAGCCTGAACCCGTGAGCTCTGTTGGGTCTCTGCCATGGCGCCCTAAGGTTTCAGGTCGGAGGCTCTGGGTTGCATCTACCCTGGTGTGAGCGGCTGCCGGCGGGGTCTTTGGGCTCATCTATACAACCTCCTGGCTCTGGCACAGTAGCAGCTGTGTTTCTTTATTTTTTACAAGCATTAACTGTCGTTATGCTTTCATCCTCAGTAGTTGCCATTGCCATGTAGAAGTTCAAGTACCACCTGGGCCCAATGTTGACAAAAAAAGCATTGAACACATTGAATTTTGCCATCATGTTGGTCTCATCAATCTTTATCACATAATCTGGAAAAGCTCCAGCATTAATCTTCTGACCATTGCTTGATTTATTACATTCCTTGAACCGTTCACACTACTTTTATAAATCTCGGTCAGGGTTCTGTAACAATGACGCTTTGCTTGAGAGGATTTCTGCCTGATTTCTCTGTTCCGAACAACATAAAGACTATAGTGGCTCAATGCAATCTGTTGGGTTTCCTTACGTAGGAACCTTTCACCTGAGATGAACTCACTGGTAAGTAGGGTCAGCTGGCATGTTTAGTCTGTGAAGCACCTTGAGATGACTCTTGTTGTGATTTGGTGTTTTAAAGATGAACCGAGTGAAGTTGATCGCTGATGTCAGGCATCAGTTTGCCTCTTGGCAGGTTTTATAGTACCTTTGTGAAGATGGTGTGAATTAGGGCTGCAGAGTGTGCAGTTACCATGGTGGGATCACATAAAGGTGTTGAAAATGTTCTGTAACACATCAACGAAGACTTTTAGTTTCTGCATCGGATAGAAAGAAAATACTAAACATGATTTAAAAAGCAAACATAATTCACTGTTGTAACTTGTCATCTGTGTTTAATCTATCTAAGTGAAACAGCTACTTAAGAAGATTGCTGGTCATTATTAGGACAGTCATCAGAATAACATCAGGTTCTCATTTCCTCCCACTTCTGCTGCAGACGCTCATTTAACCTACATCGTCAGAGCTCGTGTAACCGACACGATTCCTTGATTTTCTCTGGTTTTGGTTGCTCTGTTCTTCTTTTCTCTCTGATTGAAATGAAATATTGTTGAGAGAAATGTATCTCCACACCACAGCAGGGAGCCCGGCTCCGTCTTTCCCGTTTTTGTTATCTTCACTTGGTGTGGCACCCTGTCACAAAAAAGATGAGGGACTTGGGGGTGCAAGATTGCGTAGCCATCTGGGATTGAATCAGCAGTTGTCTGCTGTCAGTTATCTCCCATGAGTTGGGAAATTGTCAGGTGCGCTGCTGTGGTTTTGTCTGAAGCTCTGATAAGGCAGAAGCCTCCCTGCTGACATGTTGCCTTTATAACGAAAAAGGGTGAAATGTACTTTCTGCCTTCTGTTTCTCCACTGGTGTTGCATCACACGTTTCTATATGCAGACTATTTACTCTCATCTATTTTAGTCACTGCAGATACGCTTCCAGATTTTCTCCCAAAAAGACGCCTCTATTTGCACGACTGTTAGATGTTTTAGCTAAAATAAACACAACCATCTTGTTTGTTTCTAACATCGATCTATGCTATCATCCCTCTCTCCCGCTTAAACCATGTGTGCATGAGGGGAATCAACAATTGCTAGGTCATGATGCACGTCTGAAAGCCTCTCACACAGGAGTGTATGGCTAATTTTCCTGCTGACCGCCCTTGTTTACTGCCACTGTCCCTTTCTGTTACAGGTTCACAGGCCTGTATGGTACCAGTGTTTCATTTGGAGCTGTTGATGGTCCTTTCTTTTCCACTTCACTAGCCTCACACAAATTTCACACTTGTCAGAAAGCCTGGTTCCTCAAATTCACAGGCACATGAGAGTGGAGGCGCCTGACCCCCACCTCTGTGTCCTAACGTATTGGTCACAGCTAGTCAGAACTACAGAGGTTAATATTCATGTGTCGTTGCATTTGGGATGTAAGAACATCGCAGAGGTGCTTTATGGGATTGAGACCGTAATCAAAGGTTTTTAATGTCTGAATAGGTTTAAAGGACTAATCAAATATTAGTTAATGCAATAGTTCTCTTACAAAAACGTGCAATGCATATTATTAATAAGGCAGATTATTTAGCACATGCACATCCATTGTTTGTAAAATTGCATGTCATGAAATTTTATTATTTCGTATAATAACTATAAAAAAATCCAAATAATGTATAAAGCTAAATTAAAGTTATTTCCACTAAGCACACAAAGGTTTTTTTCTACTATAGAAACAAAGTATGATGTCTATAAATGTAAATCTGTGGTGGGGGTTAAATGATGGAATAATGCCAGTGTAAATTTAAGAACTCGTGGTGCATTTCTGTGGTTTAAAAGGATGGTTTTAAAAGTGATTTGCCGACTTCCCTTATCTCCCTTCTTCTAAGACGCCAGAGGCTGTTCACCTTGGAGACCTGCTGCAGATATGGGTACGGCCTGGCGCGAGATTTACACCCTCTCCCTCAGATTTTCAAGGGCCAGCGAGAGCTCACCGGACGCCGCCGGAACCACAACGCTTTCCAGGGCACGGGCCCCTCTCTCGGGGCGAACCCATTCCAGGGCGCCCTGCCCTTCACAAAGAAAAGAGAACGTTGGTTACGTATTGTAACCCCAGATTCTATGAGTCTAGTCGCAGCCCTTAAGCTAGCTGCTATTGGAAGGGTGATCTCAGCATCAGCCAATCATGAAGAACTTAAATGTACGCCCACCAATGGTGGGCACCCCTGTGGGTATATAAGTGGAGCGACTCCACTGTTCGCCTCCGATGGCTCTTAGTCCTAACAGAACCAGTGGGGCCAGTGGCTTAAGGGCTGCAACTAGACTCATAGAATCTGGGGTTACAATACGTAACCAACGTTCTATTTCGTCTAGTCTTAGCCCTTAAGCTAGCTGCTATTGGAATAATGCGCAGCTGGATGGGTTTACGCCACACTGGTTAGCTCAACCAATGAACACACCCAACATGGCTCCTTTTAGCGAGGGTCGCTCAGCCTCAGCCCAGGGCTTAAAAGGCTGAGGCAGCCAGAGAGAAGAGTGGGGTTCCCACTAAAATATCATCCTCAAGAGGATGAATTTCATTCAGGTAGGGCTGATGAGGTGCCATAATGCTTTCACTCAGCCTGCTGAGGTCCAAGCACTGAACGAGTGATGGATCCTGAAGACACATCCTGTAAATAATAACAAGTAAAGGAACAGGGTGAAGACCATGAAGCAGCCTGACAAATGTCTTCCATCGACACACCACTGTGGGGCGCCACAGAAGAGGAAATCCCTCTGGCTGAGTGAGCCCTGAGTGTCTCAGGAGGATCACGCCCTGATGATGTGTAAGCAAGTGAAATGGCGTCACATAGCCAGAGTCAAAGACGCTGGGTTGACAGCGCGTGCCCAAGGGAAGAGTCTCTGTAGTGCACAAACAGGCTTTGTGAGCGGGGCGAATCCCTGAAGTGCGTGACACATATCGCGCGAGCGCACGCACCGGGCAGAGAAGGTGGGAAGCCGCCTCCTCATCAGAATTATCGGGAGGGGGAAAAAGTCCAGCCAATGAAATTGACCTGGATTTGAAGGAAGCATTAATGTTTTTGGGCACAAAGGCTGGGTTGGGGCATAAAACAGCAGACCCGCCATCTTCTCGGATCCTGAGGCATGCGGGAGCCACTGAGAGGGCGGTTAGGTCGCTCACTCTCTTCACTGATGCTAGCGCCAGCAGCAAGGCCGTTTTGAGTGACAGGAACTTGAGTGAGACCTGGTCCAAGGGCTCAAATGGGGCTTCAGATAAGCCGTGCAGAACCACTGTTAGGTCCCACTGGGGAACTAGCGGGCGGGACACAGGTCTGTTCCTTCTGACACCTTTTAGAAAACGTTTTGTGAGGGGATGATTGAAAACAAAGCTATCTCCTAAACCCTGGTGACAGGATGAGATAGCTGCAGCATATGTTTTAATAGTGCTAAATGCGAGGCCCCTGTCCATCAGCATCTGCAGAAATGATAGGACATCCGCCAGCTGGCAGGAGAGCGCTTGAACATTCCGCTCTGTGCACCATTTTTGGAAAGCTGCCCATTTAGCAGCATAAGATGCGACGGTAGAAGGCACCCGTGCACTCTGAATCGTGGCAACCACATCCAGAAGCGTCTAAGCATGACCGCCCAGCGGCCAGACCCACAGCCATTGGCCTATTTCAGGAGGATGTTTGATTATCCCATCTGCCCTGAGAAGGGCGTCCGCCCTCCACGGGAGCCTCCACAGGGAGCCGGACACCAGCGCTTGCAGGTCTGGAAACCATGACGCGGAGAAGCGTCTGGAAGCTACCAGAATTACAGAGATTTGTTCCGACCAAACTTGGTCCAGATCTGTGGTATCAGTGCGGGATGCAGACGCCAGTCGGAGTCGCGGGGTCCCCCTCTCGACAGGATGTCTGCTGCCACATTCAGGACCCCTGTAATGTAGGTGGCTTTGATGTACAGCAGCTGGACATGTGCCCAACACAGTAAATCTGTGGCTACGCGCAATAGGGGGAGGGATCGAACTCCCCGCTGGCGATTTATGGAGGCTGCCGCCACCCGGTTGTCTGTGTGAACTTCGACATGACGGCTCTCGAGAAGGGCAGCAAAGTGTCTGATCACACTCCTCACTTATGTGCTCGTGCGTGTGGGAGGGCCAGCGATCTGCCACCGTATGGGACAAGCACGTGCCCCCCACATCCCAACAGTGATGCATCCGTAAAAATAGACACGTGTGACGTAGGACGTCCGATGGGAACCCCGTGTGAGAGGATGCAGGGATTCGGGGATTTCCCCAGTGAGCGAGGTCCCCGCCCACTGAAGGGGAAACCCTCAATATACGTCTCTTCTGACGTATTGGGTGTACCCGGAGGCAGATGAACCAACGGTGTAGGCCTCTCGTATGCAGTAAACCTAACGGCATCACAGCGTGGGCTGCAGCCATCATGCCCAGAAGTTTCATGACTAACAGGGCTCCCACGATCTTGCGGGGTTGCACGCGGGAGATCACCGTGGTGAGATCTGCCGCTCTCGTCGGAGACAAACGTGCTCTCATTAGGGAGGCGTTCAACTCCACCCCGAGAAACATAATCGACTGGGATGAAAGGATGGAGCTCTTTTCCCAGTTTGTGGAAAACCCCAGGGTTGACAGATGCTCTATTAACTTCCTGGTTTGCTCTGATGCCTCATCCTTGGACTGGGCACATAGGAGCAGATCGTCCAGGTAAAATAAAACCCTCATTGTTAACATGCGGAAATGCATCACTGCTATGGAGCAGTTGAACAGGGAAAGGTCGAGAATTGGTCTCATTCCTCCCGACTTCTTCGGTACTACGAAGTAGCGGGAGTAGAAGCCTGAGAGCTCTTGCCTGCAAGGAACTTGGGAAATGGCGTCCTTGGACAGAAGTTCCCATAGCTCCAGCTCTAGGGCCTGAGATTGTTCTTGTGATGTGAATGTCGTCTCCACGATCCTGTTGAAGGGAGGAGGAGCGGACTGAAAATGGAGTGTATGACCGTAATGAATGGTGTCCGATATCCATTTGCTCATGTGACAAAGGCGGCACCGTTCTTGTGCGCGTTCCGACAGCGGACGCGTGTTCGAGGTCACGTGAAAGACGTGGACGAGGACTGGATTCACGCCCTTACCGCCGTCGCTCGCACCAGAGAACTGGGAGCGACCCATGGAGGGCTGCGCTCGAAAGGGCGAGTGTAAAACAGCTGGAAGAGGATGATCCGCACAGTGGAGCATGGTGTCCAAAAATAAAGGACGAGTGGGAGCCATACCCGTGCACGGGGACGACAAAGTGCCAGCGGATGGAGCCGTGCACTGTGCTGTCGCGCGTGGTTGCGATAGCGCTATGACATCCCGTCCCACCCTACGTTGTGGGGGAAGCAGGCTGTGTTGGGCCTGGCAGGAAGCTAGGGCCGGTGCACAAATGGAGCGCACCCATACAGCTGGCTGTGGGCGTGTAACATGATTGAACATGCAGGTATGTTGCAGTGCTTGGTGTGGGGAATGTGAGAGGATTCGGCAGAGGATTCTGCAGAGGACTGTAGGATTGTGCTCTCAATGTGATGTTTTTTGGGTTTTATTTCAAAACCGAAATCATTCACAGAGTTAATATTACAGTCAGAAGCACACACATTCGCCCCAACGAGTCATTTTCGTGGTTGCTTTCGGCGAGGTTCTTGCGACTGTGAATGCCAAGACGGTGTCTGCTGGCTCTTTCGAAACCGTTGGCTGCCAACTCTCTGGTCCCGCTTCAGTTCCACCTCAGCGGGAGGCCGTCTCCATGGGGCAGGCGATGCAGCTGGGTGTCTGAAGTTCCCGCGCCATTCGTCCCATCCTCTGGAGGAACGGCCGGAGTGAGAGGCGGACCGGGGTGGACCAGGTCTCGCACCATGGCTGACTGTTCAGCTATCTTCTGAGCCCTCTCGATGACGGTCCTAAGATGGGGACCAAACAGAACGTCAGAGGTGATGGGGCCTTCCAGCATCTCTGTGCAGGTGCTCGGGAATGGAGGGCAGGGCCTTGAGCCACAAGGCCCACTGGATAAGGGTCTGCCAGGCAGCAATGCGAGCAGAACTGGTGAGTACAGCAGCACACAGATTGAGAATGGCATCAGCAGTTTTAGTAATGATGGTTTTCGATTCATCAGGAGCGTCAAGCTTTTCCACCATTTTGGAGATGCCAAAGGCAAGAAGGGCGATGTTATTTCCTGCAGCACCGGTCTGGAAGACGCACTGGTGTGCGCGATCGGTGAGCCGCGCCAGCAGATGGTCATGCTTAGAAGTGGGAACTGCTCGCTGGCCAACGAGGTGGTTCTTGGAGCCAAACAGCGAGGCCAAGTCCGGCTCCAGTGGAGGAACGGATGGCCAGTCCTGGTTGGAGAAGCCCTCAACTGTGGTAATGTGCGCATATGTGGAATTTGGCGCCTTGAGTTTTGCAGGTTCGGAGAAGGCGGCGGACCAGCAGCTCATGGCAGCGGGGAAACGCGGCCAGATGGTGTCTGGACAGCGCGTTTGTGTTGCCCTGAAAATTCCCGCCAAATCATCTGCTTCAGGCGGAGCCGGTTCTGGCATGGCTAGCCCCTTGTGGACCGCAGCCGCGGAGATGATGGCAGGTAGCTCCTGGAGCGGTGCTTTAACTGCTGGCTGGGAGCAGTGAGCAAGAAGGCACTGGAGCTGCGGAACCCACTGTGAAAGGCTTGTCAACCTCCATGTTGTCCAGGAGGGAAGAAGGGCTATGGCAGCCAGCCTCGTCGTACTCCTCACGGTCGATGTCATCGTCCAGTCGGTTGGAGCCAGTTGGCTCCTGGCCGACGTTGAAGAACTGTAAGGCCTTGTCCAGTGAGTACGTGTCAGCTGCCGGAAATTCCTCGGCGGTGGCGGGGGTGAAGTATTCAACCCGGCGGACGTTTTCAGCGATGGGCAGAGCGGAACAAAATGGGCACGAGGCCTGGGGGGTCAAAGCCAGGCCAGCGTGATGAGCTCCGAAACAGACCCAACATTTGGCGTGCAGGTCGCCGCTGGAGATGCAGCCCGTCTGGTAGGCTGGGCAGGTCCTGACGTCGCTGGACATGGCTGGTGAGTAGTCTGTTGTTCTTGGATAATTGCTCTTTAAAGAAAGCTCTTAAGCTTGGCTTGAAGAGATAACGGAGGCGAACAGTGGAGTTGCTCCACTTATATACCCACAGGGGTGCCCACCATTGGTGGGCGTACATTTAAGCTCTTCACGATTGGCTGATGATCAAATCATCCTTTCAATAGCAGCTAGCTTAAGGGCTAAGACTAGACAAAATAGAACAAGGATTTCACCTCTAGCGGCACAATACGAATGCCGCCGGCCATCCCTCTTAATCGTGGCCCCAGTTCAGAGAAAAACACACAAAATAGAACCGGAGTGCTATTCCATTATTCCTAGCTGCGGTATTCAGGCGACCGGGCCTGCTTTGAACACTCTAATCTTTTCAAAGTAAATGCTTCGGACCCCGCGGGACACTCAGCTAAGAGCATCGAGGGGGCGCCGAGAGGCAGGGGCTGGGACAGACGGTAGCTCGCCTCGCTGCGGACCGTCAGCTCGATCCCGAGATCCAACTACGAGCTTTTTAACTGCTGCAACTTTAAGATACGCTATTGGAGCTGGAATTACCGCGGCTGCTGGCACCAGACTTGCCCTCCAATAGAAATAATCACAAAACAGTCTAATGTCTAAATCATGTTGGAAGGAAGGTTACACAGACACAGGGGCTGTGTCTCAATTCAGGGTCTGCATCCTACGTCGGCCGGATTCGTCGGCCGGTTACGTCACAGCGCCGCGACTCGGCCTGTCCCAATTCGAAGACTCCTTCAAATGCGGTCGACGAATGCGGCCTTCTTTTCGCCTGAATGAAGGATGGGTCCGGTGTATCCTTCAATAGGTAGCATTTCCCAAGATGCCTTGCGGGCCGGCCGGCAGAAAAACTTAAAAACAATGGCGGACAGTGAAGCGGGAGCTGTCGGAGAGGATTGCGCATATAAATGTCAGTATAAACTTGAAAACTGTTAGGTTAAGGACTTTTTGTGATACATGAACGTTATTTTAGTTAGAAATGTAACAGTAAAAGTGCTTGTATTGCGGTCTCGGCTCGTATGTTCGGCCGCGCTCGGTGTCGTACTTCTCCCGCTACGTTTCCCCCTGATTTTAATAGAAGTTTGTATTTTAGGAACAAAAGAGAAAACCAGGGAATTTATTAAGCTTAGGGCGGAGATGGACCACATCATCACTGGAGCCAAGTATTCGGCGGCTGTGGCATGGAGGTACAATAACATCTCATAATTTAAAAACTCGTTTGAGTTTATTTTTTCTGCGAAAACATGAACGGAATAACCCGTTGTCCTCTTTTCTCTTCCTGTTTCTTTTCTTACATGTTTGTTAAGACTATTCTGGAGAAAATGGGCATCCAGGGGAAGGTGCCAGCGATGACAAGCTTCTGGAGCTGATCTGGGAGGACATGAGGCTGCAGAGGGCACAGGAGAGAAGGAAGAACTTTGACAGCTTTTTACTTTGCTAGAAAAAAATGGTTAAGGAAGATTAAACATGTACATATAAATGAAATATCTAAATAAAATCAGTTCTGCATTAAACTCTTGAATTTTATTTTTGTTTACAAAGGAGAATTGTTTACTAGAGGGTATCCGCTGGGTCTTGAAAAGTCTTAAAAGGTGATAAATCGGTTGTGGTCAAATGAAGACCCTTAGAAAATATTAAAAACTATTATCACATCTTTGCTCAGGCTCAGCTTGTCTAAAGTATTTTCTCTGAATTAGCTCTCCAATAGTCAAGGAAATGATTAACCCCCAGAGACCCACGGTTGTAATATTACAACATCAGATTTAAGTCTACAAAAATAAACCTTCCCCCTTTTTTTCTTTTTAAAACCACATTTACATTGCTAATAGGTCCTATTGTTCAGTTCTGCAACACTATTGGCTGTTAAAATGTGTAAATAGGCCCGTTTATCTGGCCTAGAACAACACGTGAAAGGTTAAAAAAAGATTTTGCAGTTGTTTTCTAAATTTGGGTTTCTGGGGGTTAAAAAGCTAAATAAAACGTCGAGCTCCATCGTTTAAAGTTCCTTCTCCCTTCTGCCCAGCGGTTCCACGGTTGCTAGGCGACGGAACGTTCGCCGAGGGAGTTCATGAAGGCTAGGCCTGTCCAAATTCACAGCCGTTAACATCCGGTCTATCCGGCCGACGGAGGACGCAGCCCACGTCGGCCGGGTGGGCTGGGTCCTTCGAAGGATGCAGACCCTGAATTGAGACACAGCCAGGGTGTGTCTGAATCCACGGGAAGGATGCTTGTAAGAGTGCATTTTGAGGTCGATGACGTCACAGCGCGGTGACGAGTACTGTCCGAATTCCAAGAATACTCATTCTCGCGTCCTCAAATGTGTCCTCGCTCCGCCCACATTTCGAGGATGGGTCTGTTGTCTCCTCACAGAACAAGGCTATCCCAGCATGCTTTGAGCGCCGGCTGTGGATTTTCAACAGGAAGAGAAAATGGGGAGAGCTACGAAGTTTTAAACGTAAGTTTGTTAAAAACTAGCCGTAGAAACCTAAAAAGCTTAAAGCGGTTCTGTTTATAGACATTTTTCGTTTGTATATTTGTTCTTTAAATGACATTTTAGGCAGAAATCAGCCAGAACGAGTTTGTTTCGCAGGTCCCAGTGTGTGTGTGTGTGTGTGTGTGTGTGAGTGTGTGTGTGTGTGTGTGTGTGTGTGTGTGTGTGTGTGTGTGTGCGTGCGTGCGTGCGTGCGTGTGTGTGTGTGTGTGTGTGTGTGTGTGTGTGTGTGTGTGTGTGTGTGTGTGTGTGTGTGTGTGTGTGTGTGTGATAACTCATGTGTACAGACATTTTGCCCTTCTGTCCTTCTGAGTGGCAAAGCTCTCGATGAGCTTTTTATTGAAGTCAGGAATGTTTGTGACAAGCTTTTTTTCCATGGAGAGCATTCAGCCCATCATGTGTCATGGTGTTCCTCAGGAAAGTCTTAATCCTCTTTAAAGTAGAAAAGCACCTCTCTGATTCGGCTGTGGTCATGGGTGTGGTGACAAGAATCTTCAAAAGAGTGACAGTCTCTGAACGTGCTTTGAAGATTGTTCTCCATGAAAAACTGGAAGAGAGTCAGTGCACCAGTGCAAGCCCTGAACTCATGGTTCTCATAGATGAGGGATAGCTTTGTTCAGCATGGGGTAGGCCCCGAGGCGGTTTTACCATTAGGCATAGGTAGGCGGCCGCCTGGGGCCCCCTTGTGTTGGGGGGGGGGGGGGCCCTAGCCCTGACCACCGGCACCCCTCTGCTAATGCCACAATATTCTTATTACCAACCTGTGGCCGCAGACGGGATTGGACATGCTTCTCATTACCATAATTCCTGAACCGTTCAAGGTATCATAAAAATTCCAAAAGTGCTTAAAAGCCCCATTAAAAATGGGGCCTTTCATGCATATACAATACATTACGGTAGCCACCAGGATTCCCTGTCTGGAGCGCAACGAATCACAACACAGATTCAGAGACGTGCTGAGTTTGTCATCCAAAATGCTCCGTTTTATAACTTTTGAATGGCTGATCAGATTCAAATAAAGCCAACGGTTCCTAAAAGTACATAAAAGCAGCTTTCCAACGATCTATAGCATGAAGCAATCAGAGTTAGGGAAAATATCGCTACGAGGGGAAAACCTGCTGTACAGCCTGATTGAAACAGAGTGCAGCGCCGCGGTGAAAGCGGATAACGGAACAGGGAAGCTAATCAGCATAAAAACCAGCATGAAATTATGGAAATGCCTCAAAGAAAATCAACACGATCTATTAGGTGTCCCAGAAGGCTTATATCTGAAGACAGTGACCACGAAGAAGGACAGATCTCCAGTGAACCAGGATATGAACGTTTGTTCAGTCTTTATTTTTTATTTTTTTATTTGAACAACCCTCAACTATTTTTGGTATAGCAGTGCACGGTGTGCAAGAGAAGCACCCCATGGCAGTGTGAGGTGTGCAGGACTCTGCCTGCAGCTGGAGAGAAGCTGCTTCAAGGTCTATCACATCAAATAAAAACGTCTGAAAGTTTACAAAAATAAATGGTCTTAAAAACAGCTAAAAAAGATACCAAAGTTCACACTTTAAGATGAGATGCATTACAGTTCAAAGTTTAAATTGTTTACCCAGTAATTTTGAACTTCCTGTTCAGTAATAATTGTAAAAAATTCAAATCCGTTTTTTGCTTTTTTCACTTTTAAGCTGATTTTTTAAAGGCTTTAATAGAAACAAACTCTAAATACAAACCATACACTAAAAGCTGAGGTTGTTCTGATAAAAGGAGAAGAGTTACACACACTTTGCACTTTTTATTACAATTTTACAGCCATAAGATTAAAAAAATACCAGGCGGCCCTGTTATAATTATGGTCATAAGAGGGTTATTAAGACGGTGATGCACAAACAGGAAGTGATTCATAGTCATTCCACTCCAATCCAGTTGGTGGCAGTAATGCACCAAATGGTTGTTTGCCAAGTGCCATAAGACCACAAATAATAAGAAGAGAGGCGTCAGCGTTCGTAACAAACTCAAAGCAATAGTCAAAACAAGAAGCATGAAATTGAGTTATCCTAGTGGCTCCAATAAGAGAAAAAAGCAGCTTGCTTCATTTTTTTTTCACTTCTGAAAGTGACATCGTTTTTCGCTGTAAACATCAAAAGGAAGCAGAAAAGGAAAGACAATGGAAAATGTTTAAAGGGAGGAAAACATAGACCAAAATGGAAAATAGAAAAAAAAATAACTAAGGCTAAAGTGCAGGAGCGCTGACAGGAAGAAGAAAGCAGAGCAAATATTGAAAGCACTCAAAGGGAGAGAAAAACAGGAAAAAGAGGAGGACTAATAAAAGGGAAAATAACTCGTGTCAGAAGAGGGGAGAGTTTCGCAAATCCAGTTAAAGGTCCGATTGTCGAAAATTTAGTGTAAGGGGCCCCATGTCTGTGTTCGCCTTGGGCCCCCAAACTGCTAAATCCGCCCCTGGGTAGGCCTCTACAGCGGTCGCCAGTGCTGCATCTGGGAACTGCGCTGTGTGTTGCACAAACAAGTCACTTTGTAGCAGAGTGGCAGCAACGAGGTGCTTGGTAAAAGAGAATCGCTCAGGATGGTGTCACAAACCTGTCATATGACAAATAAAAAACAACAGATAAGTACATAGGAAACACTTTCATAGGAAATAATGTCATCAGTATCCTCTTACAAATGTCATATTTCCCAGTTTTTGGGACAATAAAACATTTCTGATTCTCAATCAGATGTTTTTACATTTGAGGTAAAAACATCTCATTGAGAATCAGAAATGTTTTATTGTCCCAAAAGCTGGGAAATATGTTTGCTGCAGCAGAAGTGTAACAAGTAAACTGGAATCAGATTGATGTATGTACAAATTTACATGGAATACACATTTACGTGATTAAATATGTATAATAAGTATGTGTGTTGAAATGAGTTTTTACAGTTATTGCACATTAAACATGTTATTAAACAAATGTCCCGGTTTGTGGGACAACCAAGGATTTCTGATTCTGATTGTCTTGTTTACAGAAATGTAATGTACAGCTTACCTCGAGCTGCATGGCAACGTTAGCTCTGCCTAGCATAGCTAGCTCCACCGTGTTGTCCATGTGTGCCCGGGATGACTCGTGTTTCTTCACCTTCTCAGAAAAATGTTTCATGTCTGTAACTCCTGACTCATCCATGCCTTATCTGTCCCAGCCGTTTTGAATAACAAACACGGAAAGCAAAATAACGCATTAGCGTGATTGCATCCAGCTAGCCAAGCCTTCCTGGTGAACCAATTTCGGGAGAAGCCTCGTGTGTACAGTTTACCTCTCTCCTTGTCCTGCTGGCTTATCTTTACGTCGGGCTGATCTGGTCCAAGCTCTTTGACATTAAGTTTTTCCACCATAGTTCTCCTCTCGAACGGATACTGGAGAGGAGACCAAACTGAATTCAGTAGCTGCTGAGATCCGGTCTCCATGCTGGTTGTAGGCGCACTCTCGTCCATCACTGCATCTGCGTCACCACCAAATACCTTGCTCGAGTCGAGCTCAACACGAACACCAACGAACAGCCTTGGCGGTGGCTCTATCGCCCTTCGGGCTTCCGAATCGACGACGCTGATTGGATGCATTCCCATTCCTATGCGTTTGATTTTCTTGTCAGCAATTGGCTGGCTGCTTCACTGCTGTTTGGGCGATCTTTCTGTCGCCTCAACCGCTCGGCAGGGAGCTTCTCACCAATGATCTAGATATATATGTATGATTTGTTTTTGTTACAAAACACACAATTAACTTAGAATATGTGATTATTGTTAATTTTATTTTATTTTTTTAATAAAAATTTAAAACACTGGGGAAAACTGGGGGGCGGCACCCTATCGCCCTCTAGTGGCCAGCCGCCACTGGAGAAGAGGTATACGGGTTTGTGGGTGTCGGTCATACACCGGAGAATATGGAGGGAGATAAACTAAATAGCGTGGGTGGCCAGTGAACCAGTTACGAACGACAGCAGCCCTGTGGAAACTTACGTTGTCCCAAATGACAAAGTACCTGGGAT